GCTACGACACTAGTGACAAGGCACACCATTTTATTATCTGCTTACCTTGATTATCATCCAAACTTTCAAACGTGCATCAGTGGGCTCCAACTCCGAACCTATGCTCTGAACTCTCTCTGAACTTTTAACACGCAACTGACGTATCAGGTGCAAGGTTTTCAGCGAATCAACGATCAGAGAATACTGCCGTGAGAACGTTGTAGGCAGATGTTACAGCTGTGGGCCTTAAACTTGCGCAGTTGTTTGCGGGTCGTAATATAAAGTATAAAAAGAAAAATGTAGTCAACAGCTTCTTACAGTAGACTTGACCTCTCTTTACATTGCGAGCTGATTTTTCAAAGTCTGTAGCTTTGGCTTTAGGTCAGTGTGGCCTAACAATAGCAATACCTGTTGGATGAACTGAAATGTGAGCTTCATAGTCTTGGGGTAGTTAAGATGGAGCGCATACATAAGTCCAAACAGAATGCACATTGCTTTTGGCAGATCTTGAATGTTGTCCATTACAACTTCTCCCTCAATGATGATTTTCAACAAGGCTGGACTGAGATGCTGGGAAGATGTGAGCACAGCGCCTTCACGCTCAATAAGAAGTATCCCAACGTCATGGTCACGAAAATAATCATCATCATCAGATTCCTAAATAAAGAATAACAGAAGAGCACAATCATTACATTATATTTCTCATTTGAAAAACAACTTTAATCAATATAAGAGTGTCATGGTGAAAAATAAATAATGGTAAAAATTATAAGAAAGCAAGAGCTAACTTACAAAACCTGCTTTGAAGAAGTTTGTGGGGTTGTCCCCAAGGATGACAGGAAGCCCTCTGAGCACCTGTGTCCGGATCGCAGTTGGCTCTGTAGTCTTTTGAGAATTAAACACAGTACAAGAAGTTATCTAGCTAAAATAAAAAACAAATAATGATCTCTAAGAAAGCTTAAAAAAAAAAAAAGCAATGTTTGGATTGAATTATACAACTAATAGAGTAGCATTGTGATATGATGTTTATACAAAACCTAAGATAAACAACGGCAAGTACAGAATGTGTATGGACTTACATTGGTCTGTTGTGAAATCTGTGTCAACAACTGTCCAACATTCCCTCTCTTGGATCGAAATAACTCGAGGAGACAAGGACTGTGCCGGTCGATGCTCTCATAGAACTCCTGCTTGAGGTTCTTGCCCACAATCCTGCTGAACTCCATGAACACCTGAAAAATACAGAGAACAAAAAAACTGAACTTAGATCGACTGAACAATACAAGGCAGCTAAGCCATCTGCAAAGTAGTGCTGAAAAACATCCATGAATGTCCTTTTTATATGATTTGCAATGTTGAAGAATAACATCATGCCCCAAATTAAAAATGCCAATGTTTTCCTTAAAGCTGCAGTCCGCCGTTTTTCCTCTTTGTCGCCATCTCTGTTTGAAATCTGCAATTGCAGTCATTCGCGGAATTATCAACTTAACGTGAGTTGTACTTCAACACCCTCGACACCTCACAGCGCGGAGGAACACAATGTTTGAGGAGACTGTGAGGCTGTAAGTCACCGCGTCGGTGTGGATACTGTCATTCAGAATCACAGATTATTCTTTTTGGAAGTATGACCAACATAGTAATTTTCACCGGAAAATGTCATCTGAACAAGTAAGAAACATCCACCTTTGTTCTGGTTCTGACATTGCAGTAAATCGCGCTGATTAAATCTAACAATCGCTTATAAGTTATCATATCACGCAAAATTGCAAATTATACTTTGTTCTCAAATTGTTCATGTTAACAACGTCAGCATTGCGTGACTACATGTAATGTCCTTCCGATATGTATCCTTGTTTTCGCATGGGTCCGGTTGCAGTCTCTTTTTTTCTGTAAGTTAGCCACTCCGAAGTCCGAATGAAGTCTTTTGCATTTTACAGCGGGTGAATCTGTTGTCACTGGTGATCGTCGTTTGAACCTTTCTGGATCCGCCATCAAATTAATAAGTTTAATTATATCAAGTGCAGTGAGAAAAGGATAAATCTCCACCTCCAACATCCTCACTCGCAATATAGCCTACTAGCCGAGACTCCTTCTTTACGTGTACAGATGTGACGTAATGACGCAAAGACATGCTCGAATCTCCCGCGGAAATCCACCAGTACCACTGGAATTAAAAACACTATTACAAGCTTACCGCTTTGAATCGAGCTAAGGCAAGCAGATAGTTTTGAACACTGGCTGGTTATGTATTTTCTCAAATATGTATTTTGGATAATTTTTAACCCCAAAACAGCTACGGACTGCAGGTTTAAAGAGGACAAGAGAAATATACATCTAGACAAATTATATAATAATAGAAAGATAGTTATTTGTTATGTTCTCTTTCTTAAACATACTTGATCTTCAGTGAAAAGGGCAGGCCAGCGTTTCACCATCGTGCTTATAGTGGGTTCCGACTCCACTAGGGATGGGGATCGTTAAGAAATTATCGATATCGATGCCATTGTCGAGTCTGCTTATCGATGTGATTCCTTATCGATTCCCATATCGATTCCTGTACCATTTGCTGAACACTTACAGGGTGGCTTTGAGAGTTGTTGGCTTTGAATGTCTCATTTAAAGTGGTTTTAGATAATGAAAACCAAGTGTGCATTGGAATCGTTAGTGGAATCGTTAACGTGTGGACGTGTACGATTCCGATGGATCGGAACGTTTGGAACCGGTTCCAAACCGGAACCTGGAACCGATTCCCAAGCCTAGACTCCACTACCTCTTTTCTTCTCAGAGAAAAGATCTGATCCATCTTCTGTTTCACAAGAGGTCCATTTGGTGTTCTCTTCTGCATTTCATCAACCAAGTCTTTACAGGCCCCCTCCAGTGCTGCCTGATCAAATCCATCCGGAAAGTTGGGCAAGTAGTTGATTTCACCTTTGTTTGCCTTCTTGATGCGCTTATTAGCTGGTTGTCCTGCTGAATGCCTTCCCCGCTTACCTGCATTTACTGCAACATCAAGGCATCCTGATTGCCTACGCTTTGTTCGATAACTAGCCATTTTATGCTTAAGGCTATTTTTCCAACCACAAGAGCGAGTGGTTGAGCCTCGCTCCTGGAGACAAGGGTGCTTGTTTATCAGTGCTGCTGCAACACTTTCGAACTGAGCAGCAGTTGGGTATGCTGTGTAGCTATACATGCTCTCTGCCAATCTTTCAAGTATCACGTGTTTTAGATGTTTTGATACTTTAAGGTATGTACCCTCACTCATAAACAGCAGATCTGCTTGCCTAAGTCTATACTCTACATCCACAGAAAAGGTAGGAATATCAAAAGATTCTGGCCACTGTTTCTGTCGCTCCTGAGATGATTGTGAGAGTATGTCTGTATCTGCTGTACTGGGTGTGTCACTGAAGACTTCATCAGATGAGACAGGTACCAGCTCAAGGACAGGCATGACTTTAACTGTTGGTTTTTCTGGAAGTTCTTCAGTATCTGTCAGATTGCATAGTTCATTATTGAATTCAGGGTCTTGGTATTGGAGACTGAAGTTATAATGAAGTCCCAGTGATTCTTTTAGCTTGCTTATCAAATCTTCGACTGTAGAGGGCCTTGTGGTTAGGATGACTTTTTTTATATCCGCCTCTGTTAGAATGACCCTCAAGGTCATCTTCTGGTTTGCAGTCATCTTGGGAATAGAAACAATAATTAGGTCATTAGAAATATAAATATCCAAAAGGCCATTCAATTGCTGAGCATAAAAAATAATGACTGTCCCTTTAGATTAAAGTGGTAAATCCATAAACAAAACCTTAAAATTCTCAAGAAATCCCCACTTAAATGTATAAGAAAAACATTTACAAAAAAGTCACAAATTTAGGGAAAAATAAAAGAAAAACTTCTCAGACACTGTATCATTATACATTTCAACATGAGCTCTAAAATAAGCTACAAAATGTTCCATTACAGCCTAGATTTATTGCAGAGATCACACTGTGGCTTCTTAACAGAGAATATTCCGCCTGAGGGTCACTACCAAATTATCACCATATCTGTACGCTGAAAGAGGGAAAACATCATTCAGCTCTTTCAGCTGCACCACACACAGAGATGGGTTACTGCTGTCACAGATGAGTTCAAAAGATCTCAAATGCTCATGGTAACAGTCATCTCATTGCAAACAAACAGGATCTCAGTGTGCCACTATCTGTTTGATCTGTCTAAATGAAGGGAGGCCAGCACATGAACCAACAGAGACTATCATGTCAGCACAATATCTAATTCCATCTACATAGACTGATGATGCAACAAGAACTGATGTAAGCTGAGGAACTCTCTGGCAGAAAACCTGTTGGACATTCTCAGGATAAGATGTGATCGATGCTGTAGTGACCTTGTCCATTTCAATTGAAGGCTTGAAAAATGAACTTGTGTCCAAATAGTAAGCCATCATTTTCTAATGCTTAACAGCCAATGTAAGAGCTACATTTTTTAAGTTGTGGGCATTACGAATGACCCATTTGAAGAATTAGTGTTTTCCCTCAAACCGCATTGTCCAAACATCTGAAAGGGGACCAAATGCTTTGATCATCTCAGGGTAATGCTCAATATAGTGGTGTTTTGGCCGTAATCTAAAATCTGTGAAAGTTGTTTGCAACAAGTCTCTATGTTCTGACACTTTGCAGTCAAGGAAATGCACTGACTCTTCAGTGTGCTTTGTTGCGACAGCCAACTCAACAATGTATTTTAGGAGCAGCAGAATGTTCCATGCTTTGTCTCCTTCAGGGACTTTATGGCCAATGATAAGGGAGCAGCCTGATTAGGGTCCAGTTCTCATGGCCATTGCCACCTATAGTCCCTTTGGTAGAGAAGCCATGGAAAATTGGCTGAGGCTGGTCAGTTTTGTCATGAAAAGCATATTCAAAGGTTTTCATGGTATGGTTCAGTGTTTCTATGGTGAAATATTTCTTAGAAATCATGTCTGAAATGCAGAGGGATAACTCAACGGGAACAATGCCTTCCAAAAGGTCATGGAGGATGTCAGGGGGGTACCCATGAACAACATGAAAGTGCTCCAGACCGTCAGTCAATACACACCCTCCTTTCACACCATACTGTTTTGCCACAGTGGGATCCTGCTTTACCTCCTGCACCTACTGGTTGTGAGTGTCTATAGTGCAGGGTTCAAAAGCACCTGAATTTACCTCCTTGCTTGCATCTCGCCTCTCGTCGCCATACAGAACCTGCAGAATCTGTCCACCATAAAGCTTTCGAAGAATCCTGCCAGAAAATGAGCAGCCAGGTTATCAGCAGACACATATACAACTGTACCTTTAACAGATTCTCCCAACTTCTCAACATATACACCATATACACCATGGTGGCATTTTGATTTTTTTTTTTTTTGTGATGGAACAAGATGGCACCTGTGTCGACATGCCGTCGGTTGCTCCTCTCTGTGCTAGTTTAGCTGTTGTTTGTTTGGTTTTTAAACTGTGAAGCCCTTATGGTTTATGACCGTCAATCTCTTCTAGATATCAGATCAACATTTTACAAACTGGATGTGGAGCGTGTTTTTAATAAACCATTTGAAGGTGTTACAACAGACTTCCCGGAGTGCCTCCATTGTTGGCCTATAAGCAAAACACGGAGGAAGCGCAGGAGGAAACGCGGGTCTCGAGGAGGTCGTACGATCAAGCTGAAAGCCCGTCTACTTGCGGGCTGTATTCCAAGTTCCTTTTGCGAGCCGTCTTATGGTGACTCCGTGGTCTGGCGTCTCCTAGATCAGGCTCATTGGTGGCTTCGACCTGTCCTTCCCCTGGTTCCGTCCTCCGTCCCTTGTGTCGGTTTTCCTCATACCGGCCATCTTCTCCGAAGAGCTGGAGCGGCTCTTGGTGTGCTGCGGCCGCTGCGCAGAGTGTCACTCTCTTCCGAAGCTGTCCCTCCACCCAATATGGTTCTAATTAACGCTCGTTCAGTGGTAAACAAGACTTTCCTGCTGAATGACTTTTTCACTTCGCACAATTTGGATTTTATGTTCATCACTGAATCATGGATTAAGGATGGTGATCTTACCCCCTTTTCTGAACTGGTCCCGGTTGACTACATTTTTTAACTCCCCTCGCCAAACCAGACGAGGGGGTGGGCTTGTAACTGTGCTGAAAAACTCTCACTGCGCGCGATGTCGCATCCTCCCTGTGGACATCTACTCCAGCTTCGAAGCCCAACTTCTACACCTCGACTGGAACGGTCCTGTTTGCTTAGGGGTGATCTACCGTCCTCCACACGCAGTTAAGGACTTTTTACAGCAATTCACTGATTTTATTGGTAAAATCGTGACTAAATTTGATTGATGTTTTATTAACAAGGTTCGGGAGGAACACGTTCTAATGATCAAACAATCAAGTCATTCCAGCCAGCTGTCAGCAATCAGTAATCAACAGGTCCACTCAATCAGCACGAGTAAAGCCTATAAATATACTCAGTCGACTCACCCATATTCCTCGACAGTTTTCAGCATTTGGTTTACCGCTTTGCTACGATGTCCCAAATGCAGTTTTCACCATCCGATGACGAGCTTAACCATGCTCCGGTTCCTCCGCCGCCATCAGCTGGCCCCAGGACAACCTCTCCACCGGATACCGCCTCCAAGCCCCACGTTTCATCTCGCGGGCGCAAGCAACCCCTCGCACGCCAAGACGCCGAGGTTTACCCTCACCTCCACCGGCGAGGACTCCAGCTTCCTCCCCGGCATCCTCCTATCGTTCGGCCGTACCAACGATTCCGCCTATTGGGAAGTGGACAGTCTTGAGTCTGAGACAAGCGCTGATAAACTCTGATATTCAGCCCTCGCGCAGGATGACTAAAGCGCAACTATACAACTTATACGTTACCTTGCAATCATCAAATCTCTCTCCTAAATCCACCCCAGGTTCCAAGGCGGCCAGCAGGCCGGGAAAATCTCGTGAGGCCCCGAATTCGCCTCGCCCGACTCCGCCACCTTCCCGTGCAAGATTCGGTTTGCCGCACGCTTCAGCCCGCGGCGCCAGGATTTCTGCGAGCCTGGGTCGCGCTCCAGATTCCACCGCCACGAGACCTCACTCGCCTCCCGCTTCAGCTGAGCTTTTCAGCACGGCGCTTCCCGCCGCAGTGCCATACACAGCTGGGCCCGCCGGGTCACCCTCTGCCTCCCAGTGTTTTCCTCCTGCTGTTTCTAACTCTTTTCCTCTGCAGTGGCCTCCGGCTCCCATAGCAGACGCTAGCGTGAGGCTGCCTCCGCTAGCGGTGCAGGCTCAAACTTTCTACCACCTTCCCGCGACTACTGCTAACCCCTCCCATTTTCAGTGGCCTGCAGCTCAAGCAAGTGCGAGACCGCCTCCGCCTGCAACACAGGCTCAGGCATCTCATTTATTTCCTCCTTTTCCCCCTTATGCTTTTCTCAATTTTTCTTCTCAAGCCCCACAGGCCGACTTAAGCGTGAGGCTGCCTCCGCCGATAGTCGCAGCCCAGGCTTCTCTCCCTTACAGCTCTCTCTTAAATGCCAAATCACAATATTCTCTTTTCACAGCTACCCCGATGCCAGTCCCACCAAACGCTGTCGCTCTGGAGCCTCCCCCAGTGACTCAAAACATCCGAGCACAGATTCTGGCAGGTGCGGATGTAGACCTTTCACATTTACTTTCTCTGCTTCCCGTATCCGATTCTAACCGTCAGTTAGACTGCGGGGATTTTTCAGTCACTTTAAAAAACCAGAATACACATTCATCACGTTTACTTTCTTTTTCGGAGTTTTCAATCGCTTTCAGCCACTTCACAGAAATCATTTGCTCAGCCTTCCCTCATAGGCGACGCGAACTGAACGACTATTTAGCGCTGATAGCCGAGCTCGCGTTGTCCTACGGGGGAGGGCACTTTTACACATATCACAAACTCTTCTCAGCAAAATGCGCTGTTAGGGTTTCACAGTGGAACCAATGCCCATACTGGGGAGCACTAGACACTGACCTGCACAGCAGAGTTTTCCTTGGCTGCAGGAATATTTCTTGCGCGGTCTGCAGGTCAGTGGCACATTCCACAATATCGTGCCCTCAAGTTAACCCCTCCGTTCCTCCATGCCCGGAAACGGGACCAGTCAAATCCACCAGCTACACACCAAGACCGGCGACTAGCAACCCATATCCACACGAGGCTAATTTCCGCTCTAGAGCACTTACGGACAGCAAACAGCCTTGCAACAATTTTAATATCGGCAAGTGCACCAGGCAGCGTTGTCGGTACTTGCACATATGCAGCTTCTGTGGCGGTGCTCATGCCCGTCCTGTATGCCCTGTCTTTAAAGATGTCAATAAAAAATCTAAAAATGATTTATCGACTCCCGTGAATATTTCTCGCCTTTCTATCGAACTAGCTCACCACCCGGACTCTGACTTCACTGAATATCTGCTGTCTGGCCTACAACACGGTTTTAAACCGGGAGTGGTTTGTCCGCTCTCCCAAAACATAATCTGCGATAATCTCCAATCGGCTCTCGCCGAGCCCAACGTGGTAGACAACCTGATTAAAAAAGAAGTCGAGTCAGGCTTCATGATTGGCCCTTTTGACGAGCCTCCTTTCAAAGTTTTTCGCATTAGCCCCATTGGAGTGGCTACGAGAAAGTTTTCAGGTAAGAAACGCCTCATAGTCGATCTGTCAGCTCCACATAAATCCCTGTTCCCAAGCATTAACAGCCTGATCCCACTCGACGAATTTTCTCTCAAATATCACGACGTAGATCACGCAGTCGACCTCATAAAAATCGTGGGTCGGGGTGCCTGGCTCGCAAAAATTGACATCACTTCGGCTTTTAAAGTGATGCCCATCCACCCGGATTCATGGCACTTATTCGGAGTGCGCTGGCATGGGAAATTCTATTTCGCGGTACGCTTAACTTTTGGATGCAAAAGCAGCCCCAAAATTTTTTACATGCTATCTGAAGCCATTTGCTGGATCTTGTCAAACAATTACGCAATTCCTCACCTCATTCACCTGCTGGACGATTTTCCAATAATTTCGCCTCCCGGCGCCATTCCAGCAGCCCAGATCCTCACAGTTCAAAGAGTATTTGCCGAGCTCGGAATTCCCATCGCCCAGGAAAAAACCATGGGTCCCGCCACATCCATCGAGTTCCTTGGCATTAAGCTAGATTCAGTTAAATACCAGGCCTCCCTGCCCAAGGAAAAAATCGATAGAATAATCCTCATCTCATCTACCCTCGTAGACAGTTCAAAGTGTTCCAAACGCGAACTCCTATCCATGCTCGGCCACTTAAACTTCGCCATGCGCATTATTCCACAAGGCCGCCCTTTCATTTCTCATCTCCTCTCTCTCGCGTCTTCAGTTCACGCACTAGAGGATCTCATTTCCCTAACTCCAGCATGCCACGACGAACTCAGGCTATGGATAACTTTTCTTAAACAGTGGAACGGCCTATCATTTTTCTATAAGGATCTAATTTCCTCCCCCATCGACATCCAGCTGTTCACAGATGCAGCCCCCTCAGTCGGCTTTGGGGGGTTCTGCCAAGGACGCTGGTTCGCGTCTACGTGGCCCCCCCAAATACAGGACACGCTACAGTCCTCCGCATTATTCGAGCTCTACCCTCTCGTAGTAGCAGCCTTCCTGTGGGGGAAAGAATGGACTGCTAGCAGTATCGTAGTGCATTGTGACAATGAAGCTACAGTCCAGTGCATTAATAAAGGCCGTTCCCATTCACCCGCACTGATGCCACTTCTAAGACGTCTAATCTGGATTTCAGCATGTGATCAATTTATCTTAATTGCTAAACACATCCCCGGGTCAAAAAACCAAATTGCTGACTCTCTGTCTCGCTTTATGTTTCAGAAATTCAGGATGCTGGCTCCAGAGGCAGACAAGCTACCAACTCCAGTACCTCATTATTCGGAATTAATATTCCCATAACCCACCCGCAAAAATCCCTCCTCAACATATCGCTCGACACCATTCTCCAAGCAGTTTCCCCCAGAACTCTCCAATCCTATGTGACCGCATGGAGATGTTTTAAAGCCTTCCACCTTTCTTACAACACGCCATTCCCTGATTTTTCCCTCCTTACAATTACCTCCTTCATCTCTTACCTTAACAGCGTTAAGAGCCTCGAAGTCGGGTCCATCAAAAGTTACTTAAGCGGCATCCAATTTTTTCACAAATTGATTCACGGCGCCCCCTCACCGGAGATAAATAATTCACAAACCTCCCTCTTAATTAAAGGCATCCAACGATCCCAGCCCACCCGCCCGGACACCAGACAACCCATAACGTTAGATATTCTTACTAAATGCATTCATACCCTCCGCTCAGGCTACCGATCGCTTAATACCTCTCGCACACTCGACGCCATGTTTATTCTAGCTTTTTTTGGTTTCCTAAGATGCTCTGAACTGGCTATCACTTCCAGATTCGACCCAAAAATCCACCCAAACATCTCAGATCTTTCAGTGCTTGACAGCGAAACTATCTCTTTTCTGATCAAACAAAGCAAAACAGACCAAACCAAAAAAGGCCACTTCATATATATTTTCAACCTCTCGTCACCAATTCAACCTTTCCAAACTATACTAGCATACCTCCAACTGAGAAACTCTCATGCTAAATCCCATCTCGAACCCCTGTTCATAGACGACTCTAACAAACCCGTGACACGCTTTTGGTTCCAAAAACACCTAAAATTTGTTCTCCAACTATCAGGCATCCCAGCAGAGAATTTCTCCAGCCATTCCTTCCGCATCGGGGCAGCAACCTCAGCAGCCCAAAAAGGCCTCTCCCAACAGCAGATCCAAGTGCTTGGAAGATGGTCCTCAGACGCGTTCCAAACCTACATCAGAACTAATCGTTTCCATATCAAAAAAGCCCACCAAATCCTCATCGGTTAAAAAAAAAAAAAAAAAAAAATTCCGAGTATCCATGTCTTCTCTTTCTCCATCCAGCGAGTATTGATCTCCCAGCGGACACAGCGAGAGCCTTCCAGGTCAAGCGTCCATGTCTTCTCTTTTCTCCGTCCAGCGAGTATTGATCTCCCAGCGGACACAGCGAGAGCCTTCCCGGTCGAGCATCCATGTCTTCTCTTTCTCCGTCCAGCGAGTCTTGATCTCCCAGCGGACACAGCGAGAGCCTTCCAGGTCAAGCGTCCATGTCTTCTCTTTTCTCCGTCCAGCGAGTATTGATCTCCCAGCGGACACAGCGAGAGCCTTCCCGGTCGAGCATCCATGTCTTCTCTTTCTCCGTCCAGCGAGTATTGATCTCCCAGCGGACACAGCGAGAGCCTTCCCGGTCGAGCATCCATGTCTTCTCTTTCTCCGTCCAGCGAGTATTGATCTCCCAGCGGACACAGCGAGAGCCTTCCCGGTCGAGTATTTATTTATTCTCTTTTTCTGTCCAGCGAGTATTGATCTCCCAGCGGACCCAGAGACAGCCTTCCCGGTCGAGTATTTATATCTTCTCTTTCTCCGTCCAGCGAGTATTGATCTCCCAGCGGACACAGCGAGAGTTCCCCAGGTCAAGCATCTTCATCTCCTCCTCCTCCGTCTAGCGAGTATTGATCTCCCAGAGGACGTAGCCAAACCCTCCCAGTCAAGCATCTACGTTTTTCTCTTTCCTGACTGGTGAGGCTTACCCTTTCCGATGCCGTGACCATTGCCACAAGAACCCTCCCGTTCGAACATCCATACTTACCCGTCCGACACCGTAAGCATTGAACTCCCGTCGGACGCCGCGAGAGCTCTCCCAGCCAAACAACCAGGCTCTCCTTGAAATGCCAGCCCGCCAATCTCTGCGCTCTTTTCGGGGGGTCTTTAAGCAGGCGGCTGTCCTTTATTTACTTTGCTTTATGGGGAGTACTCTGGGTTCGGGCCCAATTTCCGAGCTCGGAGCCCTCCCCCCGGACAGCACGCCAAATACGCATAACCATCTATTCTCTGATCATTTGTAAGTGTGAACTCGTGAATTGATGTTTTATTAACAAGGTTCGGGAGGAACACGTTCTAATGATCAAACAATCAAGTCATTCCAGCCAGCTGTCAGCAATCAGTAATCAACAGGTCCACTCAATCAGCACGAGTAAAGCCTATAAATATACTCAGTCGACTCACCCATATTCCTCGACAGTTTTCAGCATCCCTCCACCACCCCATCTCCTCACACTTGCCTAGTTATCTTCCTAAACAGAGATACGGGGGGAGTACTCTGGGTTCGGGCCCAATTTCCGAGCTCGGAGCCCTCCCCCCGGACAGCACGCCAAATACGCATAACCATCTATTCTCTGATCATTTGTAAGTGTGAACTCGTGAATCGTTTTTTATTGGTGGGTGATTTTAACATTCATGTCTGCTGTAAGTCAAACCCTCTGGCAAGGGAATTTATTAATATAATTGATGCTTTTAACTTGATACAGTGGGTTAACGAGCCCACTCATATCCACGGTCATACTCTGGACCTTGTTCTTTCTTACGGGGTCGATATCTCTGATATTATAGTTTCTGATTATATGCTCTCTGATCATAAGCCTATTTTATTTTCCATGTCTCTCCCTAGTCTTCCTCATGCCTCTACTAAAACGACATCTATGTCTAGGGTCTACTCTCTTCAGTTCAGTGAAAGTTTTAGTCAGTGCTTTTTTAAATTTTGTTCTCATCTACTCCTGGAGTCTCCGTTAGCAGATCTGGACGCGGATGAACACCTGAGTTTGTTAACCCTCTGGGGACCAAGAACGCGCCCGCGCGTTTTGCTGGGTTTTTTTTCACATAGCAGCAACATAGACTTAAAATACTCCGTCATTTATGGTCATATAAATAAAATCAATACATGATTATAAACTATAGAGGGTCTTCTTTTTTTGTGTACACTCACATTAACATCAAAACCTTGTGTTTTTTAAAAAATAAATAAAATAAACAGGGTGCGCTTTCAGCTCACTCTGTCTCCGCAAAAATCTTTCTGAAACATGTCTGGAAAATGAACGGAAACTCCGCTAATACTTATCACACAAACATGAAACATACGTCTAAAGAACGCTTTAAATTTCTACTTTTAAATAAAACAATTCACATTTAAAACAAATATTCTCCTGCAATGTAATCTGTCTGAAACTAAAGAGAAGTACAGTTTCTCCTGTCTCAGCTCATTATCGTTAATTTGTTCACACCCACTCGCAGAGCGCGCTATTCATAAGATAATGTGTTGAGGCCATTTGCAAAATAGATAAACGCCCCCAGGCAAATGCTGTAAACGCACTATATTTTTTAGTCAGATTAAGATTCGTCTTGCGCGGCTATGAGGAATAATCCTGGGACATTTAATACAGAAGTGCTGGTTTATTTTCACTTCGAGGAGGAGCAACAGATTCAGCTGAGAACTGTAAGTGTTTTATGGCTGTGCTTTGTTCTAATCGCGATATAGAATAACGTTAGTGTCTGTAAACGGAAAAATAGCATACTGTTTAAATGTGAATCATGTTTCTCTCTGTGTGTGTGTGTAAATGAATGAATGAACGCACAGATACGCACTGTTACAGACGAAATAAAAGACAAAATTTCGTTGACTAGTTTTGGATAAAGTTTTTCAAATCAAATAAGCTTCAAATAAGCTTCAAAATAAAGACATCAGCTTTTCTTAGGAGTTTCTGGGGATAGAAGTGTCCAGACGTATGCACCCTGTATTTTAAAGAAGAACATTTAATTATTTGCGATACATTATTCATTCACAAAGAATTCAGGGACATTATTCACGTCCCTAAAGGTTAGAGTTTTCCTAATTTTTTAATTAAGGCATTAAGATTTTTTTATTCCTCTTTTTAGTCAACTTTAGCATGGGTGTGTTTTCTTCTAATTCTAAGCAGTGTGTGTGTGTGTATATATATATAGCCTATAATTAAAAAGCTATTTTAACCAGAAAAATCTACAATGCATGCCCAAAGTCGTGCAGCCGTATAGTTTCTCTTGATATCAGTCCTGCTGACTTCAACATTCACAGGAGACTGTAATGAAAAATCAAACACCTTGGAAATGACAGGTATGTACTATGTTTCAGGAATGGGACAATGCTGTGTGACTGTGCAAGCCTCTGTATTTAGATCAGTGTGTTTACTAATGTGCTTTTTTGTCATTTGTTGTGTATCTTTGGATTATGTTGTGTTGTAAATAAATCCAAACAATCTAAAAGCCATTCTTTTTTAAATCTCCTCATTCTTTGTGCAAGGCTCCTCGTAATGGGGCCTGATAGCACCTAATAGGGCTATTATGGGAGGGTCTTTGTCTTTCTCAGGTGTGAAATGCCATACATATTAATGAGAGATCACGCCTCCTTGCATAAAGCTTTCTCACACTAAACACGTCATACACATTATAAAAGACTTTATTGACTTATCTGAATGAGTAGTCAGGATGATTCTCACATAGTTTTGGAGCAAATATTCTAGACTATGTGAAACAATTTTCAAAAGTCTTGTGAAGAAATAATCAATATGTGTTTTGTGGCCTTATTTCAGAAACTTTTATTTTTAAGTTTTTCAATAACCATGCATAAATAATATTCTCTCAAAAATGCAAACATGTACATACATGTTGCTCACAGATTATGGCAGCCCCGTTTGTGCTATATAGAGTGAATTTACACCTTTGCCATTAACATGTTTATGAATAACTGAAAAAAGCACAAATGTCAGTGCATGTCAAAACATCCCAAGGGCCCCAAAAAACCCTTGGTCCCCAGAGGGTTAAATAGCGCATGGCTTGATGTACTGAATGAGACTGTTCCTTTAAGGCCTCTTAAGCACAAAGATAAATCTGAACTGTGGCTTACCGCTGAGACTCGGGTGCTAAGGCAAGCTTGTAGAAAGGCTGAGCGTAAATGGAAGAAGGATAATCTCCACATTTCTCTACAGTTATTTAAAGATAGTTTACTGGCTTATCAGAGAGCCGCCAAATCGGCTAAGGCAACCTATTTTTTACATTTAATTTTACATAATCACTCTAGACCTAAAGTCCTGTTTTCTGTTATTAATTCTGTTGTTAACCCTCCAGTCAATACTCTGTCTGTTGCCTCTGCTGCTCTTTCTGAAAGCTTCTTGAGTTTTTTTAAGGATACAGCAGTTAATTTAGGACCGGTAACTCATACTCCCTCTATTGAGCTGCCTCTCCATCCACAGTTGTCTTTATCGTGGGATGTCTTTGAACCTGTCTCCCTTCTGACACTCAGTGACATCATTGCCAAGCTGAAACCTTCTTTCTCTTCATTTGATGTTATTCACCCTAGGTATTTAAAGCAAATTATTGACTCAGTTGGGCCAGGTCTAATGTCGTTTTTAAATAAATGTCTTTTAACTGGGGTTGTTCCTGCTTTTCTGAAAGTGGCAACTGTCATACCTCTCCTAAAGAAGCCTTCACTTGATCTGTCTATTTTAAAAAATTATCGCCCTATCTCTGTTTTGCCTTTTATCTCCAAGGGTTTGGAAAAGATTGTGTTTTTTCAACTACAATCCTTCCTTGCTGCAAATACTTTGTTTAAACATTTTCAATCTGGTTTTAAAACTGCCCACAGCACTGAAACAGCCCTTCTGAGAGTGTTAAATGACATTTATTTGGCAACTGATACGGGTAGCTCTGTGGTCCTCGTTCTTTTAGATCTATCATCTGCTTTTGACACTGTTAACCATTCGGTATTAATTGATAGACTGAAATCTTGGGTAGGTCTTTCTGGTACAGTTCTAAAATGGTTCCAGTAATTTTTATCTGACAGGAAATTTGTGGTTAGGACAGGAGAATTCTTATCTTCTACTGCTCCTCTCCCATGTGGCCTTCCTCAAGGCTCGATTTTGGCCCCCTCTCTATTTTCATTATATATGCTGCCTCTGGGATATATTTTTAGAAAACATGGAGTGTCGTATCATT